AGACGAAAAAAGGTCAGGGCATTGGATATGGCCATTTCCTACTGGTCGCAAGGTTCCGCTTTCACTTGTCTGTGACTCGATGAACATCCGGAAAATAAAAAAAAGTCCGCAATACGGTTAGACTGAAAGAACGAGTGACTTGCAATGCGTCCCAGATGAAAATCAACAGCAGATTCACTGCTGCAAGTTTTAACATCGACCATGACCCAGAGCTGCTCCCCACTCGCCTGAACGAAGGTACTGACGCCGCGGCGGCAACCAAAGCCGTCGGCTTCAGCGAGAGGATGAGCAGGCAGCCTTCGATCACGTGGAAGCCGTGAATATTTGCCAGAAAAGAAACTAAAGGAAATGAGTGTCATTTCATGACTCTGACGCAATAATGGAAAGGAAGAAGGTATCGTGAAAGCAATCAACCGGAGCTATCGCCGGGACAGGCAGCGATGGCTCGATCACGAAGCTCAGAAACTGGGAAACGTAGCAACGCAAGGGTACTGAGAGGTGCTCCACCGCTAGGAGAAGACCATCGTCAAAGTTGGCAAAGAAACGCCTTTCACCCGTCTGGTAAGGAACAAGTCAGATGAGCCACTTCATGAAGTTGAAGGTGCATGAAGCTGAAGTGCGTCGGAAACGATGCAGTGAGCACTTCATCGTGTTCTTGAACAGGCCTGGACATATGGAAAACTTCGAAATTAATGAGGACAATTCGCAACATTTGGACGTTGACTGTTCCCCATCATCAATCGAAGAAATCCGAAGAACGATACGATTTTGCCCAAGCTTCAAATCTGGTAGACATGACGAAATTGGTGCGGAGTTCCTAAAGTGCGGAAGCTTGAACGTTCTCAAATGGATCTATCTGGTTTACTCCAGCATTTGGCAGAAGTCGGTGATCCCACGATGGCTGCAAAAAAGACGTGATCATCCGGATTTTTAAATCTGGCGGTCGCCAATTCCACCAGATGTCGAGGGATGACTTTACTGCCTATTTTGGGAGTGTTCGCATGGATTATTTTTGAACAACTGAAGGAAACCATCAGTCATTCGTTTTGAAAAAATCAAGCAGGCTTTTAGAGCCGACATCCATGCACAGAAAACATCTTCCTGGAAGAATAAACAGAATAGCAGTGCGGGAGCTTCCAACTGCACTGGTATGCGACTTTCTTGGACTTTATAGCAGCTTTCGATTCAGTACATCGACAGATTACATGGAGTATTATTCGACACTATCGAATCCCGCAGACAATGGTGGATCTAGTAGAAAGTCTGTAACACAAAGCGAAATGTACGACCCGAAAGGAAGGATCATTATCGCAATAGTTCTACACAACTAGCTTAGGTCGACAATGAGAGGCGGTCGCTTTTTTCTCTCTCAATGATATGAAGAACAGCATAATGCCGAAGAGCTTCGTCTCAAAAATCAATGAGGCACTGGCAGACAGCGACGCAGATGAAGATACACGGCGGGTATTTTTAGTGCATCTAGAGTAAGCAGAATATATCATGTTGTTGAACGACTGCAGGCGGTTAAGAACACTCTCTGAACTCTGAACAACACGGCTATAGGAGTGGGGCAGGAAAGCGAATATCATAAGAGCACCCGTCATGACCGACAGACAAAGGAATATTTGGAACAGGACTATAAAAGACGTGGTAGACTATTTCAAGTACCTTTGGAACAATGCTGGGTAACGATGACGGAACAGATCCTGAGGTGAACCTGACCTATTCATGGGACTCGCAGCCGCGAATTTAAGCAGACTCTATGCAACGTGGAAGAATCAGACTCTAGGAACTGGCATGAACGCCGTTGCCGGTCCAAAGCCCAATTGAGAAAGCAGGAGGGTTGGAGACCGTGGCGAAGTCTCCGTAGAAGTTCGCCATCTGCCACTCAAGGCATTGACTCCATCCAAAATACTAATGACTCGATCGCCCATCAGCTTACCAAAGTAACCAGGAGGAACTGAGACAGACTGCAAAAAGTCAGCGATCAGAACCTGCTATTACTCTCTGCCAGCCGGGAGCGTAGCAGCACAACAACGAAACTCCTCAGATACCACTCATCGACGGAGTCGCTTTCCATTCTGAACGGAGGAGGAAGACAGCGCGATGCCATTATAGCACGTCAGAAAAAGCACCACGACAACGACAGCTTAAAGTCGAAAATTAGAACATATCCTCACTCAGAGGAAAATAACAAGAGTTAGTTGATCAGCCAATTAAGTACCAACTCGACATTCTTGGACTCCGGTCAATGAAACGCCAAGGTTATGGACTCCTGAACCTCTGCGTGTGGAAGCGATTTTACTCAGGATATCACGACGCGCGCTAAGACCAGTGTTGGTGTTCTGGTAGAACCCAACCACGCAGATAGAACCATTGATTGCAAACCTGTCAGCGGAAGGGTGGTAATCCTCCGACCGAAGCTACAACAGGCTAAATCGATGACCTTGGTACAGGACTATGCGCCC